GATAGGGATTGGTGGTGGCTATACTCTACCACTTGCTTTATACGGCTTGAGTTTCGATATATGGAGCACCAGATGTATCTTACTCATATTGTCTGAAAGATTTAGTTGGTATATGACAGAACCTATCCGGTTGAGGATGGTGAAGGTGTTACAGTCCAGGCCGTGAGGCCTAGTGGTGACAGCCAAAAATGGCAAAAAAGGTATAAATACCAATGGGAGAACTCCAGTACAAGGGTGCTGATGAGGCGTTGTGGCGAATGCCGAAACCGGTCCACCTTGCCGTGAGTTCGAACCCTGCCTAAGGCAGATTGTTCCACCAGGGGTTTTTCTACGGAAAGCCTAAAGTACTGGTGTCCCAACCCACTAAAGACAAAAGCGTAACAAATGGTTTTGGAGCCAGCTCCTCCCGAGGCACGAAGTACATAAAGTGAAGTGCCGGGATGGCCCTTCTAGGGCGGGGGAGTAGTGTTACGGTCCAGGCCGTGAGGCCTAGTGGTGACAGCCAAAAATGGCATAAAAGGTATAAATACCAATGGGAGAACTCCAGTACAAGGGTGCTGATGAGGCGTTGTGGCGAACGCCGAAACCGGTCCACCTTGCCGTGAGTTCGAACCCTGCCTAAGGCAGATTGTTCCACCAGGGGTTTTTCTACGGAAAGCCTAAAGTACTGGTGTCCCAACCCACTAAGGACAAAAGCGTAACAGAAGGGCCCAATCCACCTCGGTAATAATTCTGAGTTCTAGGGTGCTTGAGGGTGATATGCTATGTCAAAAGGAGAATGTCATTTGGTTTGTTATACGACACATCCCTCCGGTGGCAATTAGCATGCTTTGATGGCTTGTTTCATGTTTTTTTGAGCACTCCCTGGCCTCTTTTAGCGCTGATTGGATACGGTGATCAAATCATGTCACAACTCCACAAGGGGTGTACTAGTATGCCTTAATTATGTACCCTCATGGACCTTGTCTAGAATCACGACTCCACCATGATTGAAGGGGTCAACCAATTTGTGGACCAGATCAAAAGGGATTTCTCAAATGCTTTGATATTTATCAATTGAGCCAAAGACATAATGAAGTCCCAAGCTAAACAGAAGCAAAGGGAATTGAGGTTGGGTAGTGGGGATGGGATGCTACTGTCGACTAAGCATTTGAATTCGATGAATGTGCCTATCTGTAGATTGAAGATGTAGTTGTTTAGGCCTTCCTTTGTAGTTCGTCATGTGGGATTAGTGGCCTACGAACTCGACCTCCCTCAGAAGTGGAAAATGCACAACATATTCTACATCATCTTACTGCATCCTTTCAAAACCAGCCAATGGGCGCGACCTACTCAGGAGGGTCAAATTGAGGACATAGAGCCTGAGGAGGACGAGCCATATGATGTCAAGAAATTACTGCGTTGGCAGTGGGCAGGACCCAGTTCCAGGAGGTGTAAGGAAAACTTAATGCTCTCCCGGAAGAACTCAAGAAGATGGTTAAGTGGGACCGGCTCATTGAGGATAACTAGGCCCTAGGTTTCACTTAGACGTTTTGAGGGCTAAACTACCCCTAAGGGGGAGTATTGTTGTGCAAACTACTAGAGGGTAGCTGGTTTACTCAAGTTTTGCACTGCGAAATGATAACAGATATGATATTGTACTTACCATATTTACCCGGTATTAGTAGGCATGTATTGGACCCCCAAAATGAGTTGTGGATACTAATAGCGGGTCATGTATACTAACGCGGTTTGGACCCCTGATTCCAAAGAGTAGACAAATAAAATTTTTGACAAATAAGCCATGAAATACCCAAAAATGGACAAAAATGGCGATGCTAGTGCGGAATGTTGTCAGCCTCTTCACAGGAACTGGCGGCCTTGACTTGGGGCTGCATCAGCTGGTGGCGACTGGCGATTGGGGTCGTCAGGGGTTCGCTGGAATGCTCTAGGCGCATTTGCCTCTACAATGCAAAGAACAAGGCCTGACATGGGTCTCGACTCGCAGGGGCACCACGTCGCGACGATGCTCGACACGCGGCGTTTTCCCTTGCTGATGGCAAATGGGAAGGCTGACGGGATTTGTGATTGGGTCTGTGGCCTGGTAGCCAATGAGATGCGTTTTGCCCCACCTTTGCAACATTTTATGGCCAGTTTTGCAAGGCGGGGTCTCGCAACGGCAGTTGCCCTGACCAATGCCGTCACCTGCCCATTCCTGGCGCTGGGCATTGGGGGACCTGTGCCAAGCGCCAGGCCGGAACCTGCTCTGGCCGGCCGGGGAGCATGTTGGCTCAATCCAGAAAGTAGGGCGGCTTTGAATTCTCGACCGTTTCTATCATCGGGCCTTGCGGCGTCGGTTGCTGCCTTGCGACCTTGCGCTGAGAACGCCAGCAACGGCCAGTCGACCACGCGGCTTTTCACGGGAACCCCTCCAAATTCTCCCTCGATAACATCCACCCCGACCCGATCGTCCCCGTCGATGTGCAAATCGCAGGGAACGTGGTTTGGTCCAGACTGGGCAACGAGGTCCAACACCAGCCCCCAACTTCGCTTGCCACCATCCGCGCCTTCCGTCGTTTCTGCTCTGTTGAGGTTTGGGGGTGGATACTAACACCGGGTCATAGATACTAACGTGGGTTCGACCCCCAACGAGGGGTGTGGATACTAATAGGGGGTGCCTACTAATACCGGGTAAATACGGTAGATTGGATATAGGTCTTTGCATCATCCCAAACGGGTTAGCGGTAGTGGAGTTATAGCTTATTGAAGTTCTAGTACTTAAAATCTGGCTGCTAGCATACTCGGGGTTGAGATACAATCTATACGGGTATATCCAATACACTGTTTTGTACATTGTGTACCGCTGCATGCGAGGGTCATGTGACCGACCCCGCACAACAAACCATAATTCTATCAGGTGCCCACTCTCGCCTCCCCGTGGCAGCACCCGCAGGCCGCAAGGCACCGTGCGCACCCACTACATATACGGCTGCCCTGCGCTTGGCCATTCCGCAGGCTTGGGCCCACATTGCGCATCCAAACAGACGAGCGCCCCGGAAAGCCCACCAGCCATCTGGCGGAGGGGGCCCTGCGACTCCATTGGGCGCCTCGGTGGGCGCATCGCTCGTAAACCAACCGAAAACCACGCACTCCATGTAAGCTTCTTTGGTGGGAAGAGACTTGTCTCTAAGCAGCCGCCGACCCTCTGGGTCATGTGGGAGTGCATCAGCTAGAAGGCCTGTCTGTTTCATGAGCCAAATACCCTTGTGGCGTCAAAGGACCCCTTCAAAAGGGTGCGCCCTAGGACTGCACTCGTTGTACATGCTCCCGGTGTGGTGGTGATTCGAGCCCACAATTTGTTCGATCTTCTACTGCAGTGCACATCCGGAGAGTCTTCTGGTCGTCATGGCTGGTGGAGTCCAACACCCATCTGCTAGCTCATCCCGATACTATTTGTTCGCAGGCACTTCCAGTTAACTGCAAGAACTGCTGGCAGGGACCAGAAAAACGAAATGGAGAAATTTGTTGCCTCCAATCAGGGGCATAAGATCTCAGGTGCCCACCAGCTCCCCGGTTCACACATATTCACTGTTGAGCTGAAACGACAGCAGCACAGATTCCTAGTTGCAGCCACGGTCCCACTTCCATGTCGTGCTTCAGGCTGGTGGCGTTGCCCTTCAGTCACTTTTACTCTCCTCCTTTACACACCCCTTATAAATTGCCTGAATGCCTCACTTTGTTTGTGCGGTTCTCCTGTCAAAAATAGGAGAGTTTGTTCATGCTGTCATCATTCTTAGGGAAGCAGCTGATGTTTCCATGATAAAGGGATAACCTCCGATTATAGTATTGGTAGCTTTTGCATCTGAAAGTGGTTTTCATGGCCTACCTTAAAGGCACAGCTCTTTGGCACTGGCATGTGCACTGCAGCTTTTAGAACGCATCGTCTTGTGGATGTGACTTGCAGCGCATTCTTCTCATTGTTTGCCTCTTCATTGTTGCAACAAGTGTGTTGCAGTGGCCTTCCCAGGAAGTCATGTGATACACTGAGGCGAGCTTTCTTGTTGACTTGTTACAGGGTGGTGGTCCGACTTGGAGTCTACAGGGCTGCCCACTCTGAACAGATCGCAGGTTCTGTTGCCAAGAGGTCGATGAGGAAAGTGGCGGGCGACATGATGGGTTAAGTCGATGTCGCGAGGTGCAAAGTGGGTTGCCAACGACGATGGGCATACCCACCAGGGACTTTGCATAGGCGGAAGTTCAGAACATTCACTTGACTTTCAAGCTGAATCCACAGGAGTTATGGCAGGCAACCAGCCGCCGCCCTTGATGCGATGGCAGGGAAGGACCACAGACGTCCGCCCCTTCTGCCTGGCACACATGTTGAAACGTTCTCCACTGACGTGGCGACAGGGACAAGGTCGAGTGGGAAGGGATAGACCGGAAGTGAACGTTGTTGCGTTATCAGTGACTTGATTTTCTCAGGTACCTTGGTCCCAAGTTATACAGGAACGTAGCTACATTCAAATTTGCAGGTCCTCATTGCCAAAAAGTGTCAAGGGAAACAGGTGATATCAATCTTAGGATCAGAGCTCGGTGGTCGTGGCTGACAACATTAACTAGGGACATAGCGGTCCATTGTTTTGCACGTTGCGTGTGTTGGCACAACGGCTGTCCAAGTGTAGGTCCACTAAAGCATGATGTCCAAACTCGATGGCAGTCTCAGAGGTCCAGTAAATCTAGATGGTAGGTCAGATTGAGATGCACAACGAATGTCAGACACTCCGAGCCCTGCATGCTTCCAATGGTATTACAATGCCAGTGCTGGTGCGATGATGACTACGGAACATGCGGTGAAAAATTGAATCCCTCATACCAGTCTGCATGCGGACCACCCCACCACCTATCATATCGCTTCCCCAGAATCACACAGGGGTGGGCCTACAAACCACCATGTGATAAGCCTGGGGCCCACGAGATGAGACCTGCAAGCGGTGCAAATGCAGCCCCAAAACTGCAGGCCATCAAACTGTTTTAGGGTACCAATGAACACCAGACTCCCCCACATCATGAAAGGGGCGAGCTCGCCAATGTCCCCTCTGGCTTGGCTTCCGAATGATCAACTGACGTGAGGGCTCCTGGCCAACGCTCTCATGCGCTAGGCCCAGCCCTTCTGCCACTATGTGCATCTTGTGGCGATCACTGGACGTGAGAGTGGGGGAGAAATACAGCTCCCGGCGACTGGGATCGTTGGCGAACGCCTGCAAGCCGGTCCAAGAATGTTTCAGGCACACCATCACAGGATTGTGTGCAGTACTCGATTATCTTTCCCAGTTCAGCACATGAACAGTGTGCAGAAAGCGCATTGTGCATCGGGTCAACATTGGCCCCTTCGAGGGTGCTCACATCATCAGGGGATCCCCAGATTGGCAGATCACGGACAGAAAACTCTGGACACTGTTAGCTGAAACTTACCTTGAGGGCGCGCCGGAGATTAGCGTGGTACATCTGCTGGCCTTTAGGTGAGTGGTCGAATTGCTCTCGGGTCAATTCTTCGATGCTGCATGATAGACCCCAAACACCACCAGGTGAATGACCTGTATCCCCGGTTCCAGTCTGCGCTGGCCAGTGAGGGGCCAGCCTGCCCACACTTCTCTGGGGAATGGGCACTGCAGAAGAGCCGTGGTTGGAAGTTGATGGTAGTCTGCTCTGCATATCGTCTCCAGACACCCAGCCTTGTGCGGATGATGTGGACGCACCTTCTGAGCGTCTTGTGCGTTGGTGGTTTCTTATGTCCGGTGACGAAGAACTAAGGACTTCTACACCAGAAAATTCACTGCCAGGCAGACAAATGCATGTATGTCAATACCTTGCTGACAACATGCTAATATTCCCTCACCAACCCTGGCACTGACAGTTTAAGCATGAAATCGCCATTACCAGAATCACACCTGCAGATACATGTACCAAATTGGTACTGCCAATACAATCTCATGTACAGGTACTACCAATACGGTCTCGTAACTGCCAAATGACAAATGGTTAAAATACATATGGCTGACTTCAAGATCTCAGAAAATGGAGAAAATTTTAAGAGGCTGCAATTCAATCAGACCCATTTGTTTCGCTGCACTGCTGCCCACCACTTGTATAGCATGGGGCAAACACAACGTGGTACCTGTCAAGCATATCTGCAGTAAGTTCTGCACTCGGGGCTGTGAAAGGCCGTGTGCCGCCATGATGCCTTCTGGATCGCCTCTGACATCGTCTATCCATTGATGGGTCGAAAATGTCGGGGGAAGAACCCAAGGAGCATGGATCAACATCAATGTAGCGAAAATGTCCCTCCGGGGAGGAATTCTGACAACATTGCACCAACAACACTACGATCACCGCCACTGCATCAACACTGCAAAGCCAATTCCAAGTTGGTTTGTTTGAGCTGTGCATTATGCGAAAAGAGTTGACAGGTGCGACCATTGCAATCTAGTGGATACAAGCCCCAAACAGATGGCCTGCCCTGGGCAACATTGCATGGCCTCAGAGGGCAGGGCATAAACACCTCTTTGGACTAATGGCAATACAAAACAAAGCTGTTGGAAGCTGGCAAATTTGTGAAAGCAAAACATATACGAAAGCAAAAAAATATATGCACAGTGCGTTTTTCGCCAGCGGAGCTCGGCCGCTGCCGTTATGCTCCAGGTAGAACCCTGAACGAACAGGGCATACCACTGTGAATTTACCTCTGGTGCTTCGTTGTTGTTTCCCTCGCTCGCAGGGAGACTTGGGGGTTCAACAGTTCTGGTCAGGGTAATATTTCTCCCCGCAGAGCGCGACTTCCAGGCAGTTATTGCCATCATGAAATCTGCCCCACATGCAATGTCCACCACCTCGCAGCCTTGCAGGGCCTTCACAACCCGCCCAGTAGTTTTTTTGCTTGTGTCTCCATGTCCAAGCTGTCCAAATTTTCCTGCACTTGCAATCCATTTTCATACCATAAGACAAGCCATGACATGGGTCAGGGGCGTGTGCATTGCTAGTATACCATTCACACTTTCAAGTGTCCAGTTCCTGGACACTGCAACTGCGCAATCCGGGAAACTATGCCATAGACTCCATTGGACTGTGCAAAGGCACTCTCCAGGCAGCTTCCAAGATATTCATGGTGTTTTTTTCACTGTGACCATAATAATCCTAAGAATTGGACAGGAAGATGCGAGTTCTTTTGAACATGACATGGGTATATACCTCCAGCGATATGAGAACATGATCATGCAGTGTACAGCCGGCCTGTGGCCTTGTAAGAGACGTTTCATATCACAAGAAAATCGTCATGAACTACCACATTGGCACTGGCAGCGCCGAGCCACACAGCCCATTTGGATATGCAGCAAACTCAATTCAAAAGTCAACTCGACTTGTTGGGTCACGCTTGGCACCCACGCACCTTCTCCCCAAGTGTACAGCCTTCCATTCTGGTCAAGTGCAGCAGCGAACCGACCTCCTGAAGATGCCGCAACGGCCCCTATTCTATTAGCCCATGGTGCCTTGGTGGGCGTGGACAGCAGCTTTGACATCCCGCCAGTGCCCAGCTCCCCTCGGCCCCCTTGGCCCCAGGAATACAGGTCTCCATTGTCAGTCACCGCATACAAAGTGGCAGTGCCTGCCGCCACGGTGACGACCTTGCAAGCATATCCCAAAGACATTCAAAACATGACCTGGGTCAACAGATAATGCGCTAATCACATTGACAGCATCCAAATTTCGCCAGGCCTTCTTTGTACCTTTTGTGTTGCTTCTCCTCCACCACCGTTCACCTTTTGTCCAGAGCGTGGCATGCCAGGCCATGAGGCGTCGGGACCGTTGGGCAAAAAGTTGTAGATGGTATAGCCTGACGCCAATTTGCCACACTGGCCGAATCTGTTGTCCCCACACACAAAAACTCGTCCCTCCTGGCTGCAAGCAACAGTGTTGACGGCTCCCCCTGCAGCATTAGCAATGCGGACACCGCGAACATCCACTTCAAGGATTAGAGGCACCTGCAGCACAAAAAGAGCAAAGACGGGGGAGCATGGATGTGTGGATTCTTCTCAGTCACCTGCTGTATAGAAATCGCTGAAGCATGTGGAAGCATCACATCTGGCAAATGGGCATCCATGCACCAGCGACATAATACATTTGCAGCCAAACTGCCAGCAAAAACTGCCGCAAGCCTAGTGTGTCAAGTGCTGCAACACAATCTGTGCTGCCGAGCTGTTTTGCGCCACTGCGGCTACCAAGCGTTACACCTGTCAGCAGTGCTGACACAAACAGGTATTCCCACATCGTTACCTGCTCCATGTCCTTGCCAAGCCCACAAGCTCCACAGGAGTTATCGCCACAAGAGTACAGCTGCCCCCCTTGACTCCATGCAAGACTGTGGTACTTTCCACAGTCAACGCCAATAATTCTGTCATCCTCATGCATGTTTAGGACGGCTTCTGGAGCAGATACGAAATGCTGAGCAGAACCAATGCCCAGCTGCCCTTTGGAGTTGTCGCCCCAGCCCCAAATTTCGCTGCTTGACGTCAATGCTAGCACATGGCCTCCTTTGCCACCTGTGCAGTAGCAGTCACAATAAAAAGCCAGCAGTGCAATAAGAATAACATCCAGATGTCGAGGGGATTGTACATATTGGAATTGTCATTGCATTTCACAGACTGGTCCAACAGGCCCTCTTAATTCCTTCAAAGTAGTCATCCACCCATGAATTGCCAGATTGCAACTCTTCACTTTCAGGCTCACTTTCTTTACTTTCGTTAACTTCTTTTGTTATGATGTTGCCAAAGTCAACTCACCCAAGACATGACGTCCACAGTTCGAAACTGTCAACCAAAAACCAGCCGTCACATGCACAGCACAAATGGAGGTTGGGTGGGGCTTGCAACTTCGCAATATTGCACACGAGTGCAGAGAATTGCGCAAATTGTACGAAGTACTCAATTCTCTCAGAATGACAACAGCCTGGTGCTCGACGGCTGCCAGTCAAGGAATGAGCCCTCATTTCCTGTGTTCTGATTTGGGAGATGTGGGTGGGTGCTTGCAATTCATCGTGCATTCTTGGGGTGACGGGTGCCACTTTTCTTATCCTTTTAGCTGTGCCCTTGGCACGTTGAAACAGTTGGTTCAGATTTGCGCCTGAACGGTGTGGATTCAGACATGCAACCTTGGCTGGCATTCTTCTACTACGTGCAGTTAGTGCCTATTTAGCATATGCAAGGCACTTCTAGCTTATGTAAGGCACTTTTAGCTCATGTAGGCTTTTCAATTATTCGAGCCTTGTCCTGTCTTGTTCATGCCAATTTCTTGCCTTGCTCAATTCCAACGAACCCCATCTCAGCCACGAGCCCCCCCCCGCAGTTTGACAAGGTGTCACAATGGAAGCAACAAGTTCACCACAATTTCGAGAATGTAGACAGATTGCACATCGGGCTACAAATGGCGCCAGCACGATTTCAGCAGGAGCCTCTCCCTCGACGAGAATACCTGGTGCATGCAGACGCCGTTCGAACATTATTAATCTGCCAGTGCTTACAAGGAAATGGAGATAAGCACCCCCGCCCTGGGCCCAAATGAGCTTCCCGGAAGAAGCGCATTCCGAACGAGCTTCTCAAAATCCGTGCATTATCGCGGTGGCGCCCCGCATGACAAGCAGGAATTGGTTTGTGTTGTACATTAGATTTCAATGAACCGATCACGGAAACCGCCCGCTGGGGCGCAGTAGAAAGCTGGCGGCAGCCTCGTGCAAAAATGAATTACGATGACAAAGCAGCCGCCACAGCATTCCGTCTGCGCAACCCGAACATTGCGGCAGCCCGCGTGACGCAGCAGCCCAAGGCCCGCGCTCACCTTTCCGGGGCCCTCCCGCGGCCACGGCCACCACCGTCTGGGAGGGCGGCCTCCAGGGCATCCGGTCGACGCCGGCCAGGAACCTCGTGTCCACAACGCGCCCATCCCAAGTCAGCATTGCAGAAAAGTCCTCCCCGCAGCTGACCGCCCTCAGGGAGGAGCACTCCTCACCGATCCCCGACAGGCGATCGGAGCCGTTCGCGTCCGTGTGCGCCGCGCCGAGGCGCAGTGCCCCCACGCACACCGGATGGGGAGCGGTGAGCCTGCGGAAGGGGCTGGCCTCGAGGGCGACCGTCTTCTCCCCCCAGGTGTGCAGCCTGGACGTCTTGACGCGGATGAATTGCGCCCTCATGGGCAGAGACTCTCCATGCCCGCCCTCCGAGTCCGGCACGGCGGCCCCCTCGCGCCGAAGAAAATGGCGCCACAGGGACGGGGAGTCGGCGATGCTCCTCCATTGCTGGCACACCAGGGAGGCCAAACAAACGGATTGCGGATCAAGCTGGAGGTAGATGTAGAGCAGGGCCTCGGGGGGGATGCAGCCCCAGTTGGGGCCGGGGCCATCCATACCGCCAACATCAACTTGGGGGAGGGGGAACAGTCGCATTCAAGGCAGATGAAGCGTTGCTGCCTCCGCTGGGAGGAGGAGCGGGGCCAGGGTTCCCGGACAGCCTCAAGGGGGCGAGGGATGGGCTAGGTTGGTCGTCCAGCCCTGTGTACGCTTCCTTCCAAGCCCTCCCCGAGCGCGAGGCTCAACGGCAGGGGTGGTGATCGATCTCCCGTCGGAATATTCGCCAGGACCGCGGCGACCTAGGGGCCAAGGCACACGCCCACTCACTGTCGCAATCGGGGTTGCCATGAAGCTTTGGCACTGTAGCATGGTGAGGCCAGTCAGCCCGACCTTTGCCCTCTGCGGGTGTCGGAAGGAGGAGTACTGGAATTCAATTGGGTGGGAAAGCCCGGTCGCCCTCACGGTGTTCACTTGGTGCATATGCATGAAGAGATGCTTGCGGGCCGGGCGGGCTTTCTGAATGTTGTGCCGGACGGTGTGCCTTCATGCCTTGGTGGTGGTGGGCATTGGTGAACCTGCGGCTGTGGCAAGGCGCCTCAGGGAAGCCCAGTCATATCCACGAGGGCCAACAGAGGAAAGAGGCGTCCACAGCATGTCGGGCACTGTGTCTTCGAATGGCGGCTTCAGACGAACATTTCGAGGCCTTGATATTATGCCTTGATATTGGCAAAGTTTCGACCTCAACGAAACAAATGCTCCCTCTGAGATTTGAACTCAGGACCTCCCGCTTACTAAACGGGTGCTCTAACCAACTGAGCTAAAGGAGCTGGCCGGTACATGAACAATTGCTATATATTCTGTTTAAATCACAAATCACTTCACAATATGCCACCCAGTGTGCTAGACACCATCAGAATGCTTGAGGCCACGTTCTTGACGCCAATTCTTCATTGTGGGAGCAAGCTCTTCGTTTGACGAGATGTCCACAATTGGTGGACAATAGATTGGTGCATGGGCGGGGTCACGAGGCAACCTATGTGCTACTCACAAAGCAATCAAGGCCTGCACATGGGCAGTGCCTGCAATATCGATCGATCGATTGATTGACCAACTGACTGTTTGAAAATTCTTTCATTACATGAGAAGAACCATCCCAGCAGGGAAACGTGTGTGAAACGGGTGCATTTTTACCAGATACTCGAAGTACATTGTTGACGTCGGTAATGTAGGGCCCCTCAACCATCAAAGTCGGGTGTCCATGTCCTCTGAAAATTCATGACTAGCACGGGCGTTTCTGTCAATTGTTGTTCTTGTTGATATAACTGCAAGAGGTTTTATCGCAACTTCAGCATACCATCATACCCTGCAACAGCTGTCCATTGTGGTGTCACATAGTGTTTCTGTGTGTGTGCAGGTTATCATAAGCTTGCGAGAGTTCATGGCCATTGCATAGACAATCCCACTTTGGAGAGAGACACACACACTCAATTCGCTACTCAACAGAGAATAATGAACTGCACCGCCCAAAAACCATTCAAACGCATTTACAGCATTTGCAACAGAGCTAGCCGCTGTTGCTCTGTTCTTTCCAGAGAAAATTCGCATCCCCTTCTGGAGGAACACAGAGTCTCATGCATTCTCACGCATTCATGCACAGTGCATGGCAGGCTTTCTTCTTTCTGCAGCATTATTACACACTGCCTGCCTGCGCTACACTTGTGTGTTCCTGCCTGCGCCTCCGAATCCTATCCACTCCTGTCCTATTCAGCTGCAGACTGACCACCTCAAAGACAAGACTTTCGGCTCCATCTCTTCTTCATTTCAGCACTGAATGCGAACTCGAGGCTCTGTTGAGTTCACTCTAGTGGCCTGTATTTCCATTGCAATGAAGACCCATCACTTTGGCTCCCCATTGAGGTCTGGCCCTTGCCCCAGTTCCTGTCCAACAGCTTCATACCATCGAGCTCAATTTGAGAATTCTGGGCCACCTCCTTTCTCCGTTTCAGCACGGCATCTTGAATCCATGCTTGTGCCAGGTTCATGCCAATGGGGCACATCACCATGACGAAGAAGAGCTCCCAGTCAGGATGCCCCTCAAAAGCATGGTCCAGCAACCGGGCTACCTGCGATCCCCCACCCCTGGTAACCACAATCAACCAAGCACAGAATGCCCTGGCAATGATTGTGGCCAGTGTCCACTCTGCCATTTGCCAACTCCAAGTTATCAAGGATGGGGGATCGCCATAATTGCCACATTTCGCTATGGAATCCCACCAGTGTTCAAACGCCCCTACAGAATTGTCAGAGTCGCTGAGGTGTTGAAATCGATGTCGGCGCTGGAGGCGTTTTGCACCATGGATAAACAATCGGTGTATTAGCACCGCAAGAGAGACACCCAGTGTTGTGTCTATTGTGAAAACCAAGAAGTACCAGGCACAGGGAGATGCTGACTTGGCCACATATTTTGCAATGGCCATGTTGCAGAGATGACTAAACCCAGCGGAGACAGCCTGTTTCCCAACGTCCAATGCCCACACCTTCACAGGTCTCTTTGGACTCTCACAGTGCCTGTGCAAGTGGGCACCACAGTCAGCCACGTGGCCATGCAGGAGTGGAACATGAAACAGCGGACGGCCTGGACATGCACAATGCTCTGCACATGCCATTCCATTCCCCTCGGTTGACTTCTAAACTGAAAAGGACAGCCCTGCACACTTTTTCCACAGTGCAGCAAAGTTGATGCGATGCCCCGGCCAACAGGCTGTTGGAAAAATAAATCTTATGCATCGCTTGTTGCTGTGTATCCTTTCGGTTCCGTGTTCGCTGTAGAAGGCAGCTGTTTCTTGCCCTGCCGTTGCTTGAAACCAGGTCTTGTTCAGACCTGCTTCTCACCTTTTATATGCAAGGCTCAGGAGCACAAACACAAGAAGACAGACTTGGGCCACATACGAAGCAACTCCTCGAAGCAAATAGCATTGGTCTTCAGCCATGGAGTGCCAGTTGCCCAGGAGGCCAGATACAGCTCCTCAGTCACTGGGCCAACAGGAGATTGACAAGTGAGATCGAAGCACATGGCAAGGAGAATTTCAATGGAGCAGCACACAGCTCCAACAATGCGCCTACACCTGCCGCTCAAGCCTGATGTGGACACAGCAGGACGCGGAAGGACGTTGGCTCGCAAAGAGCAATACAGATTGTGCTGCGCTTGTCAATGCGGGTGTCCCGAGTCCCTGTTACTTGTTCATCGTGTTGCTTATTACTGGGCACCATTCCAAACGTTTTCTGGCAGCTTTCTGCGCCATCGCTTATTACATGGGAGGAGTCGCACGTTAAGCGTTCTGTTTGGCACTATGACGCGCCAATCCACAGCGCCGTGGGCCAACGGGCACTACCGGACTGAAGGCGGAGGACTGGCAAGCGAGGCAGGTGGAGCTCCCGGGGAGTGGCGGGCGAACTGCCCGGTTAGCAAGTGGCAGTCGGGAGCGTCGCTGGGGCGTTGCTTGTTCAGGGACAGGCACCCGTCGTGGGTGCCGGCAACGCGGAGTGAGGTGTGGGCACAGCTGCTGTTCGGTTGCGTCACAGCGGGTGACAGCGTTGAGTAATCCGAGGGGATTCCGGTGGCGGTGCAATGCCAGCCGTTGCGAAATCGAAAGAACTTTCGGATTGAACCAGACCGCCCAGTGCGTGGGTGGAGGTAAATATGCCTGAGCCATGCTGTTGGCGAAGCCCGAGCGCGGTTGTGGAGGTCGCTTGACGCTGGCTCCCTCAGTTGGGCATCCAGCGAGCGAGCCCCTCGGGATTCGAGCTTGAGCGTGGCGGTTGCCGGATCCCGCCCCGCCTGTTGCGGACGAGATGGACATCGGCCCTGCGGGACTGCGAGAGGGGAGCGAGAGGGACGTTAAGGATTGCAAGCTGATTCAAGGATGGCTGGCCATGCTGGCGCAGAGCGTCCTGGTTGTGCTGGTTGTCTCGGTGCTGATTTGGAAAAGGTAGGAACGCACTTCGCTCTCGTCCTTTCAACTGGGGAACACGCCCAGGAGGCGGTTGAACGGAGCGACTGTGAAGTGCGGAGTACAAAACATGTGCACCCCGGCTGAAACTCCTTAAACGATAGATGGCTGGGTGTCAATCGTGTGACGGAACCATTGCTGCTTGGCTGGGACGCACATAGCCCTGCCAATGAGAGGTCACGACATGAAGAAAGTCTGGTTGGACATAGTGATGAAGGAAAAGTTCTTCGTATCGCAGCCTTGGTCCTCCTTTGTGAACCACATGCACCGCACAATTTGGGCAACGGTTATGCACTCATACTGGCTTGGTTGTTCTTGCTCTTGTTTTTGCAGAACAGGATCTGTATAACCTCAGCAGCAAATGTCGGAGTAACGCTTTGCACATTTTGAGGAAATACCCTCCCCTTGCTTCCAGAACTGGGTGGGGTTTGTTTGTGTAACATGTGAATGTGAACTTTTTGCATAGTATGCGCCAAGAGGCTGGAGTTTCAAGCTTGCCGATGGTTTCTGTGCAGGCACGTTGAAACGCCACGGAGGGCATGGAGGATCTGGATATTCGACGTTGGAAAGCAAGGCACGTACAGTTGGCAGTTGCAACCCCAATTTTTTACGGTCAATAATTTTAATGCTGTTGCACCCTGGGCGAGATATGGTCTGATAGAGCATGCTGGGGGCCTGGGACTCACCAATTTGCAGGCACAAGTGTGAATATGTTCCGAAGGACAGACTCCCAGGCTGCTTGCACGGCTGAGCTGCCACCAGAAGCAGGGGAAGGTACATAAATACCTGGATAACCAGAATGCCAGCAGGCAGAAACATTTCTCACACACGGTGGAGGCACATATGTGCGAAGTGCAACTGCTTGCACGTGTTGCTACCTGAGGCGTGCGATGACAACCCAAACAGGCAGCGGTCAGGACTTGTGTGGTGCTTACACTCATGGCTTGTTTATTTCGATGACTGAAGTACGCAGGACAGAATGCCGCAGTTGCCCAATGACATGAATTGTTGGCACAAGCCCCACAAGCAGGTCATAATCAGTCGGCAGATTAGTTGCCAATGGTGTGGGTCCTCACCCGTGCTGCAGGTTAGATTGCCGCATGGAGACCTCTTGCTTGATGTTACCAATATTGGAGAAACGTGCATCCCATTCTTTGAATTCCTTTGAAGGGACGAATAATTGCTCAAAGGAACACACAATCTGGCACGCTGCTAGGTGCCTGATGAGGCTTGATAGTTAAATTGTGTTGCGTGTTGCAGGCGCCGCGTCTATGCTCGTACATGTCTTCAATATTGGTCTGAGCATGGTGGCTTCTACGGATGCAGCGAAAACGAGCGAGTGTTCATGGTATTTTGTCGTCTATGTCATAGACAACACCTTGGGAGTTGCGCTGGCTCTGATGTTACATCATTTATTCGTCAAGTATGCAAACAACAGGAAGAAGCAAAGGGTGCCTTGGGCGCACACACTGAGAGACGGACTGTTGCTGCCCGCAACAGAAGTGAGCTGCCAGGTCGCTGAACGCCCAGGATTCTGTGAAATTGTGGCAGCCTGCGGTTACTATGGACACCCGCCATCTTGTGCCTGGTGGGGAATACAGCTGTCAGAGTTCCTAACCGCGGTTTTCCTGTCGCGATGTGTGACCGGGGGCCTTGTGTTCCTGACGAAATCGTACGGGCTGAAGCAGACGGCAGCACTCATCGATCGGTGGTTCCATGGCCACCCAGTGGCGCTGCTTTTCACCGTGCTCATATTTGTCCCACTGGTGGCCAACGTGGCGCAAGCGATCATTAAGGACACCATCCTGAAGAGCAGACTTTTGCTGAAGACTTTCTCAGGCGAAGTGGCCAGACGTACGAGTTTACAGCGGGCAGCTTCCCTGTCAAGCCCCCATCAAGGCAATTCTGTCGACAATCATGAGAGTCCACGGCTGCGACTCGGGGCTCGCTGCCAAGGGGAAGCATAACGGGGTGAAGGGTAGTCAGTCGCTATTTTTTCGGGGCGGGGAAGGCCGCAGGGCGGCTTGGGATTTCATTGCAACTTTTTCCATTCCCGTTGAGGACACATGGCACACGAGCTGTGCAAAATTTTGTGCAATTGTTTGGGGACGGAACGCCACATTTAATTCTCATTGTTCACTGCTCGGATTCAGAGGTGTGTGTGCAGGGCGTGCTGCCGTAAGTACTGTGCATCGCGGCACCACGAAATATTGCACAGCCAGACAGACTTACCTGTGTATCAAGCGTGTGCCATGTGTTGCGCTCGCCATGGAGCTCTGCAAGTTCCCTCCCGGAGCTGTTTCAGAATTGTGCAACTCCAGCTGTTACAACCACACCATGGCACCACGCACTTAGCTGTCCTACCTGACCCAATTGCCGATCTAACTACCCGGTCCCCTCCATCAATATCTTGATACCTGCAGTTCCTATGCATAAAAGGCACGTTCACTTGTCCCACTCCAAGTACTTTCCCCTCACAAATTCTGCATTGTTTGTACCAAAATAGATGTGTCTTATTTGCGCACCCGGGTCTGCCTCTCTGCTTCCCTTATTCCATAGCACTCACAATCGACGGCGAGGCCACCCCAGCTTCTTCAACATCCTCTTGCTCCCTGGTATTCCCACTTTCATATATCGCTTGATCTGAGCAAACTGCCAATTCGCACTGTCGAAGTTCGACCTCTGGACTGCTTGTTGCAATAATTAAAGGCGTTTCATCACCAACACGTGTGCTCCTTGTTCGATGCCGTCTCTTCTTGCGCTTCAAAACGCCATCCACCATGATTGCAACGGTGATGTTCACCATCAGAGGGTAGAATACCATGACAAAGAACAGCAGCGCCTGGGGATGGCCATCAAATCTGCGATCCACTGCTTGGGCCACAACTACAAGAAGAATATCTTTCATTAGAAGGTCAAAAGTCCCCGACATGCACCGTGCCATCAGAACAGCAGCTACCCATTCCGAGACTTGAACACCCCACCTCCTCAGACTTGGGGGGTCACCATAGAAGCCACAAAGGGAAATGGCCTCTAACACGCCCCACTGCTTCCCAGTTGTCCCTCCCTCGATGTCATGCTCGCCTGACCTATCCCTCCTTGTCCTCCTTGCAATCCCCACTAGCATCTTGTGAATCAGAATCGTGGTTGTGGTTCCTAGGACCTGGTCAACATTGAAAACAGCAAAGTAAAGGCTGCACTGTGACGCCTCTGCATTGTCCATTGATACCAGTAAGGAAATGGACAAATTCGCAAAGTGGCATGCTAGTGCAGAAAATCCCTGCTTTGCTACATCCAGGCCCCACACGAACAGTGGCCGTCGGGGATTTTCTTGGTGTCTGCATCATGGCACAAAAGGGCAGTCAAGCATGAGCTGGTGGACTGGATAACACCACCCCTAAACCCAACGGTGATGGAGCAGAAATTTTGGGCGAACTCGCCAGGCATAGCATCACACGTCTGGGTCACCTTTTAAAGGGCAATTCTCTCCCAAATCCAACCAATATGTGTACAAGTACATCAGTCAATGCAATATTCTTAAGTGGCAATTTTGCAACGCACCCTTCAATATGGTGCCCCATTCGCAGTTTGTTTCTTGCCGTGGATGTTTCGCTACCATGGCGATGCTACTCGTGTATATTGCCGATCTTGATGTCAGCCGCAGCGCGTATATTGTGTGCACACCAACACCACAAATACGGTGGATCCGCTTGCCCATAGACTACTTTCATTCATTGATTTCAACACCGGAGGAGTCACGTTACAGTGCCAGTTCGCCATCCACATGGTCTCTTCTTCGCTTCCCACCGACATGAATTTCGAGGCCAGACAGCACACACACAGTAATACATATTCCAGCTGCATCTATTAGGCTATTGATTCTGAGCCCGTGGTCCGAAACGTGGCGTCCAAGCTACCAAGATGTCGACAGCATCTCAGGTCGAAGATTTTGGGCGGGAAACCTCCCACACATAACTCATGCAGGTATCGAGGATGGTAAGGTATCTGTTTGCCGCCCCACCAACCACATACATGGCGACTGCGTGGAGCACGCGGACAAGGCCCTGGCTGCCACACTCGTCATCGCCTGCGCACCTTTTGTAAAGGAGGGCGCATATCACCAGCACCACCAACGAGCCCTGAGCAGCCAGGGCCATCCACCCCACGAGCAATTTGCACTGATTCGGATCTCCATGGTCTTCTTCAGCCATCCTCGGGCACAGCGGTCATCTCGTTGGCCAAGGCGTCGGGCGACTATCTGCCGGTGAGGGCCAGTCGGCGCCGGGCTCGGACCCGCCAACGAACCCCCAGGGCGAAGCCACGGGGTGGCCCCCTTGCAGAGTATCCTGCGTGATGGTGCTCCGTGTTCGCAGCATAAGGGACTGCAGCGGGAAGGGACGCCGCCTTGTTCCGGCCAGACTGCGACGGCGCCCCAGAGCTGCGACAGTAGGCGTTTGTCTCGCGGGCTCCATCAGCCCAACTCACAAATTAGTCAACATTCGACATGCACCTATCAGCGCCACCTGCGGTGGCGCTGGCAGTTGATTGGCTAGACACAAGACGAGGTGGCTGACTCGTCGCCCAGACGCGACATACTTTAAGTATGGACGATAAGTGGAACCTCCCAGGCACGCCATGGCGGAATCATCAAGAAACCTTACGTACTTTGGCAATGGTGGAATCACGAGAGATATCGCGCTGGGCGGTGCAGAGACGGGTTGGAAAATGGTACTGCCGTCGCCTCGCCACGGACGATAACTGCACGAAAGGCATTCACGGCATTGCAGGCAAGCTCCCGCCTCACTGGCCCTGGCAGGCCCGTTTCCCGCTTGGCGCATGTCGTGTGGATACTTTCCGTTATTTGGTGCAGCAGCGCCGACCATGACTTGGCGACGGGTCTTGAGTCACTCTTTTCCATTCACCACGTGAAGGAACTTGACGAAGTGGGTGGCGGAAATGCTCTCAATGTGTTGCGAAGGTGAGTCAGTAAGGGGCCCACGTGCAGGCACAGGACCTTCAGACAATTGGTAATATCTGGCAAGATACATCCTTTTGGTGCTGACGAGGAGTATCGGCACCATGCGAAATGGGGGGAGAGCCTCGGAAATTTGCCCCATGCCCGGCAGCATCCCTCAGTAGAAAGGCAGTGGAAAGTCGTCAGCTGTCGCGACGCGATGCATTCGTTGCCATGGCACTGGTCGGGGTGTGGCTCAACGGCGACGCGGTCCTCGCCAGCCGCTACTACAGCCACAAGCCCGTCCTCCCGCAGTACTACCTCAGTCGGCCGTATGCAAAACGCCCCGCGGGAACAGCCGAGCCCAGCAGCGACCAGGATTCGAGGCTGCCACAGGCCGATGCCAGGAGCCTGGAGTTCTTTGCAGAGGAGCCTGATTGCAACCCCATCCCGAAGCGACCAGGCTGCTCTGCGGGCTGTGAGGTGTGTGGCGTGGCACATCCAGTTTGTTCCTCTTATCTGCAGTTTGCCTGTCGTCCATTGATGGAAAACATAGGCATGGGCCCTTGTGTCACGGTTTTTGTGTGCGTTTAGGACGCGCAGTCGCATGCTGAGATCAGTGCTGGAAGCTCAAAAGCCGGGGCGGCAGAGGGGCGGGCCGCCCAGGCGCTGAAGACAAAGAAGAGGAAGAGGGTGTCAAAGAAGCAGTACATGCCCAACAGTAGGGAGCAGGAAGCCAACTGTCGACACGAAAAGCTCAAGCCTGTGCTGGAGAGGGCCTGGCAAATATTTTTCGCTGAGATGAGGGAGGAAATCGGGGCGCGTGGTTTGGGAAGCGTTGAGAGCCGGTGGCTGTGTGGCTCGCCTGGATCCTTGGGAGATCAAGACGGAATGCAGGTTGTTAGCGCCCGCCATGGATTCACGCTTGGGAAAGAATGTCTTCCAACATCGACCCAGCGCAAGGTCGCCATGACAAGGTCGGTAACCGGCGAGTCTATTGGCCAGGATGGTTATTCAGTAAAACAGAAGAATGTGCAGCAGGCTGTCACACGCCATGAATCTGGGCACAAACAAAATGTGGAAAAGGGGGCTGGTGGCCACAAAATCCAGAGAGGGTTGGAGGCATGGGAACTGGGCAAAGAATTTGCCACGCAGGAAAACTGGGTGCTTCTTGGGTCCATGAAGTCCATCATCAAGCCTAAGCTGTGGATTGGGAATCGCCCAAGCATTGGAGCAAGTGTGACCAGCATTGCTGTGGGGGCTACAGGAGAAACTGCCAGTCCTCAGGACCTCTTTGACACCATCCATGAGGCTGCAGGAGATGGGGACACGGAATGTGTTGCACACAATGCACGTGTGGTGCTGCCAGCCAGGAGTCGGTTCCTGATGTCTGACATCAAGCAAGTGGGAAAGATCATCCCTGAAAACGCAAAGGGTAAGCGACTCCTGCAGAAGATGGGTTCATGGTGAGCACCTTTTCACTGGAATAGTGCACCGCAGTTCTTGCACATCCGATTGTCCTTCTGGATTTGTGACAATGGAGGGCGAAATGTCTCTCATGCGATAGAATTGCGATCCTACACCTCACTCTTGCAATGCTGTGGGTGTTTTTGGTGCAGACTTGGATGATGCAGAATTTGACGTGATCGTTATCGATCCCCCTTGGGAGAACAGAAGTGCCTCTCGCAAGCAAGCCTACCAGTTGCTGCCGTGCAACAGATTGCTTGGCCTTCCTGTGGGCAACCTTGCAAGAAAAGTATGGACAAAGAAATTGGATAAGTTGCTTTCCCTGGTCTATTCAAGAATGGCAACTATCTGAAGATACCTGGTTCTTGATCAAGAACCAGGAATCTTCAGGTAGTTGCCATTCTACAGGCAATGCAATTGTTGGCTCAACCATTGCAGCAGGCTTTGCTGCTGTTGATGCAGCCAATTTGCACTTAAAGCCATGTTGGTCTGTTAGGGTGGTGCAATCGTTGCATTGTGGACAACTAATCGTGAGAGGCTCTTGCGATTTGTGGAGGATAGGCTGTTGCAGCAGTGGGGGCTGCGCACTCTTGCTCGTTGGTGAGTCACACAAAAGCGTTAATGTTGCCACTGTATGGGAAAATGTAAGTGCCACCACTTGCCAATTTTTGTGTCTCACTTCTGGCATAGCCATAGCCCTAGTAGCTTGAAGTGTGCTCATTTTTGTGAAATTCATTTTTCTTGTGCATCAGGGACCTACATGTCTTGGTGTTGAGCATATCAGTCCTTGAAACAATGCGGCTCCGCCAGAGATATCCTTCCCTTGCAGTATGCAGTGCTCTGCCGCTACTTTGGCCACATGCCACAGGATAAGCTCACAAGGTGGCTTATTCCCAATGTGGCAAAATGTGTCAAAGGTGCACAATGGATTGTTTGGTTGGCGCGGTGCCTTGGCTCTGTTGACTGATACGGCACGCAGCATGGAAGGACATGCTGCACGTGTATGTCGGGTGTGAACGGATACCTTCTCGAGCAGCATGAAACATATCATCCATGTTAATGCCAAAATTATCTGTGTCTCGTCCGCAGGTTCTGGCTAAAGGTTGCAGCAACTGGGGAGCTGGCAGCACCGTTGGAGTGCAACCATCGGAGGCCATATGAGCAGATAATCATAGCTACCAACAGTCCAGAAGGCAAGATTTGCACTCCGACATACCTTTCGCCTTGTCGCTGAAGTAGTTGCATTGTCAACGCTGATAGCTTGACATCAAGCTATTAGCGTTGCACTGATGATCTCGAGTTGCCTTCTCTCAAAGGTACAATTGGTGTTTAAAGCGCAACCACAACGCACGCGGTTGGCTGCGCATCGCTTAAATTGAAACGTTTCTATGTATCGTCTTATCACAGGTGCATTCTCTTGTCATCTGCTGCCAGACAACTTTGTCGTCGTCTGCATGCCAAGCTCCCATTCTCGAAAGCCTCCCATAGCTGAACTGCTGCAGCAATTTCTGGGACCCCACCTTCGGTGTCTGGAAATGTTTGCTCGCGAATTGGTGCCGGGCTGGACGTCCTGGGGAAACGAGGTGCTCCACTTTCAGACTTTTGATTGGTTTGAATGAGGATGATGCTTCCATTGATGCCACCAGGGGCACTGCATGGTGGATGGTCGCTGGAGAAATTCTTTCTTCTGTTGCAGTGGATGTAAATGAGTTTGATATTAATGTTCAAGACAAGGATGAGCTTTGTGCCAATGTTGGCTCTCAAGGAGGAAGAAAAGAGCCGTCTCAAGCAAGGTTCAACGTGCAGTCAATTCACACGACCAAATGGCTGATTCATACCATCTTGCGCATTTTCACAAGAGGACTCCCGTTGGTGCCTGAAGTCTCTGTAAGATATCCAGATGGGAAACTAGCAGTCCACAGAGGTTCTCACAAGGCGGTGCCAATCTTGAACAACAGCAAGGTGTGCTGCAACAGTGCTGCATCAACAGTTCCAGTAAATCCGTGCAGAGACATGCAGCCACAACACTTTGGAAGCTTACTGAATCCCCAACCGTCCATCGCAATATGAGCGTTCTCAAGGAGTGAGACACGGTACGACTTTTCTCTTTGTTCCAATTGCTGGCTGTGATCCTCAAAAGTGCAATGTGTTTCGTCAACTCGCTGGACCAATCCGCAGGACCTCGGATGTTCCAATGCATCCGTGGGGCTAAAGCTGCCGCATTCATTCATATTCACACGTCAGATGACCTTTCGCGGGTGGGTGGCGGGCCACGATCCCCTGGGCATTCATATACGCCGTGGACATGGTCGAGATCATGGGGTTCACTCCCGACGCGCTGGGAAGCGCGGATGCATCGCAAATGTACAGTCCCTGCACTTCCCAACATTCGCCGTTTTCGTCGGCTACTGAGTTGCTGGGGGAAGATCCCATGCGGCAGGACCCAATTTGGTGCGCCGAGAACAGCACAGTCTTGTGCTTCTCTATCCCCAGTTTCTGCAGCTTTTCCAAATACGCGTCCACCGCTTCAGCTCCCAATGACTCCTCGAGCTCCAGGATGGTCCGGTCTGCGTGGTTTAGGGTTGCCACGGTATCTGCTCCCGTCGACACCAAGACCCGCACCACATGTTGCATGCCCTAAGCCAGCAAAAGAATTCGTGACGACAGGTGCAATTTCGGCAGGTACGTCACTGCCGCCAGGAACGTGGCTTGGCAATAAGGCATGAAGTCTGAGATGTGATAGATCTGTTGCTTCAAAGAACTGGGGCACGCTACCAAATAGGAAAGGGAACTTGGGGGATTTTTCTCAATGCAGGGCGACGATGGTGAGGAGAGAACCTGCCCCCAGTGCGACGTTCGTGATGCACACCTTCACAATGTTGTCTCTGTCTCTCTCTGACGGCCAGTAGTCCAGGCACGGCTCCCCACAAGAGTTAATGGTCACTTGCCCGGAGTCCATGTCTCGGCAAAGGACCAGACCTATTACAGCGTCTGAATAGCGAAGGGCCAGCTTCTTGAACTCTTTGGCAGAAAACCACGGGGTGGAACTGCAGTACACTCCAGGGTGACACTGCAAGGGAGCAAGCACCTGGTATTGTACCTTCCCCAGCAACAATGTAGCTTTGCCTAAAGAAATCCACCCACTGGCTGTCGTGGATCTGGCAGTCGATAACAAAGACTGCAAGCAATTCTCAAAACATCTGTTTAAGACCAAACACAGCGTTCCTAAACACTCTCAATTCATGCAGGATATGCTTGGAACAATGGTTGCAGGCTACCATCCAGGATCTTACCGAAGCCACTTCGATCAGGGCCCCATAGCCGGAGCCTTGCCAATCTGCCGCCTGATTGCTGTAACTGCTCATCATCACACCCTCCCAGCTTCGCACAGATCCGTGCCCACCTGACGCACGGGGATAATAGCCGACAACGACGGTTGCAGGGTGGAGCCTGGATCCAGCAGTGCCCATGTCAATCTACAGCGACAGTCCAATGAACTTATGGCAGTGCAACGAGCAGGCAGCAACAAGGCACCACAAGTCCACAATCTACCGAAATCGGTCTGGTGCAAACCTCATGAATGCAAATGCAGCCAGCATAGGCTGACCACGTCCTTGTTCTAAGATTCATAACGGCCAGATTGCAGGACTTGTCTCCCTTTTCAGCTCACTGCCAATGTGCAGATATGTTAAGAGTTCCGCAGGAACGACAGATTTCGTGCACCACAGCTGAATTGAGCATGAGCGTCATTCACTCAGCGAGTGTCACGACCTGAGGTGTTTGCCAACATTTCCCTGGCATGCGATTTTGCTCCTCAGTAACAAGGCTGGAGTGTTTATTGATCCACAGCTGGCCACCACCAACGGAGCTCTGATTAGGATCTTTACTACCCTGTTTCCACCAATATCCACGCTTGCTTCCACGCCCACTGCTTTCTTTTTGCGGCCATTTGATTCTCCCTGCGCCAAACGCAACCAGCTGAGCACGATGAAGGGAAGTGTTCCACAGACACCAAGAACGAAATCCTCTTTGTGGCTGGTGAGGGAAGCCACCCAGAGTTCTTATTCCCAACGTGAATCCCTCTCCATCACATAACACTGAACGGAGCATCCTCCTCATGGGATTAGGTATTCTTCATACACAATATAGGGATGGGACCTTCCTCATATATCATATAGGCAAAGTATGTGAACTTTGGTGTTCAGGCTGATTACACAGTAGTGACATCCCGGGAGCGAACTGAACACGTTCAGTTTCAAATGGTACGGGACTGGGGCACAGAGTCACATGGCGTTGTGTAGATGCCACGCATGTTCAGAAACATTCCATTCAGCTCAATCATGTCTTGTGGGAAGTGTTGTGCTGTTGCATGGTGAGGATATGGCATGAAAGCCAAATGAAAAACCCTCATAGGATGGCAGCAGATGTTAATGATGCTTTCTTAATGCGCCAATCAGTCCCCATGATTATCTTGCGTTTTTCTCTTGCTCTCTGTTGCATCGTTGCATATCGCCATACTAATCCACATTGAACAGCGATGGGCAAGTACTGTAGGCACATGGTGTAAGACACCAGCAGTCCATTTTTCCATCCTGGTGAATCACTGTTTACCCAATTAACAGATGCCTCACAGTAAACTTTCCGGAGATGCAGATTGCACTGAACAGCTGCCAGTGGAGCACTCAGCAACGTGGAAAATCGGAGCCTCAACCCATAGCTATACTCATACATACATTGAGTGCTCAGCCATTTGTTGAGGACTTGCTCATGCCAATAAATTGTTTCACGGCCTGTCCATGTGCTTGGATTAACTAATGCTGTGGCTTGGTCGCCGAAGTAGCACAGCAGTATGGAAACAGACAAAAGGTCCTCTGTGACGAAAGAGGGTCCTTTGCGGGGGGTGCATTTGACAGAAAGGGGTCCTCTGACCGCCCCTTGTACATTAGGTACGTTGCCAGACTGGCGCCAGACCGGCGCCAGACCAACGCCATGAGGCGCTCACCAAGATGAGGGGTCCCTAGCCGTGGTCCAGTCTGGCGCCATACTAGTGCTGGTATGGCGTTGGTCTGGTGCCGGTCTGGCACCGGTCTGGCGCCGGTCTGGCAACGTACCTAATGTACAGGGGGCGGTCAGAGGACCCCCTTTTGTCAAATGCACCCCCGCAGAGGACCCCCTTTTGTCAAGATATCTCACAGAGGACCCGCTTTTGTCATTTTCCCAAAAGCTAATTTGCAACTGTTGATTCAAGTGAATCATCGTTTTTCCTGATGATGATAGCTTCCGCTACAGAGGATATATCTTGCTGGAAGAAGAAAGCATTCCCGGCAGAATAACGCAATAATGATTGAATTGCAAACTGCTTTTTGTACGCACTCACCATCGGCTCAACCACCACCCTGTTAGCAAAGCACGGTGCCAGGATCTTGGCCCCACATTTGGCTGCATCGAGAAGAAAAGTGTTTACACCATCCTGCTTCTCCCCATGGGCACAACCAAAGCAACAATGGCCACTGCAGATCTTGGACGTGCAATTCCTTGGTATAGTTCCACTGTGCCAATCCAACTTCTCAAATCCTTCCTTAATTTTAGCATTCTGAGGATTGTGGACAACATCTGTGTTGACTTTCAGTCGCTTGCAAACGTCATCCATGGCGTCTGTGTACTTGGTCGATGTGAAAACGGGAAGTCCGTGAACTGTAGCCCACTCCTGAACAGCATCATGGAAAATGTCAGTTCTGCATACAACCCATAGTTCCAAGAGCTGCCTAGCCGATCGCCACAGCAATTCCTTGACAGTTACTTCATATTGCAAGCAATATGATACAATTGGTGAAGTATCAACCCACTTTCGAGTCTGTTATGCGGCACTGAAACAACACATCGGATGCAAAGCAATAGACAGAAAGATGCTGAATGCTTGCTGGTGCTGGATGGAATGATGTGGATTGTAGCCGCCTCTACAAGTCTGCTGCGCACTGCATGGAGTGAGAATTATTTATCAAGGACTCTCAGGTCCACATAATCAAGAAAACATAAACACTTCTGTGGCAAACATACCTTCCGGACATGGTCTGGTGTTCTGAAAGATGCACACCAATTGATTCTGGGTCCTCCACCAACAGTAGATCCAGCAAATACACTTATACCACCATCCACCGTTGAGAACAAGCCCTGATGCTCATACATCGTGGAGAAGGCTTCACTTTCAACAAGACTACAATCTGACGCATGTGTGAAGTCAGATTTCTCCAAAAGGATGACCTTGCGCCCTGCACATGACAAATTCGCAAAGATGCAATGGAAAATTTCAGAACATCTTGCCACTAAGCATGCACCACATTGGACATTTCACCAAATACTGCAGCTGCCTAGGTCCATGTTTCGGCGAGACTAAGCAAGAAAATGAAAAGAAGCAAGAAGGCTGTGCTCACTGCAGGTCCCAAAACTCACCAGCCTTTGACATCACAGCGGCCACTGCCCCAGCGCCAGCCCCACTTCCCACAATGACTGCATCACAGGAAACCTCCAGAACACTATGATGCGAATCTGCTGGAGGATTTGCAGCTAACTTGGCAGTAGGAGTAGCCACGAGTCCATGGGATAGCAGGTGGTTCTGAGGCCACCAGCACACTTGGTGTCAAACAACACAGGTGTGCGATCAGGTCAAGAATAGCATGTTCACAGAAATTTAAAAGCCCTTCCTTTGGCAAATCAACAAATAGAAAACTACCACATCATTATGAGCAACTGATTTCGTATTGCTGCAGATTCACACACTGTGAATCGTTACAAGAACGGGCAACCCCACTATTGCTCATCCAAACACGAACTTGCCAGGGCTTCAGTGCAAGAGCCACTCATTGGATAGCTAGTTTGGTAAATTGGCCAACCAGACTTCACCTTGATATGAACAAGAACCTCTCCCTCAATCCCTGCTGCAACGCCCTTGCGCTTCCCCATCGCTTCCTTGCGCAAGTCGATCGCAGCGTCTTCAATGATTTTTTCTGCCTCAACAGCTGCTGACTTCAGCAATCCTGGACGGCTGGAGCCGGGTCCTGGGTACTTCATGGCCACCCACAGAGGGTTTGTCCTGTTTGAATGCACCCTCCCAAAAAGAGGCTGAAACACTGCTCCTTGGAGGGCTTTTGCTGCCTGGTACAAACAGCTCAGGCGTTACCATTCAACGTGTCTGTCCCTAGTCAAGACGATCTGCAAGTTCAGCAGGCTGTTTGTGTGCTTTGATCTCTTATCCTAAAGTGCGCAATCCCAAGACTGCTCTATCCTCTGGTAGTGCATTGCATGCCTCAGGCATTCTGTGATGCCATCAAAGGCACAGCACGCCACCATGCTGCTGAATTCATCACGGCAACAAGGAGACACAAATCATTCTGTTTGCACACCCACAGTGCTGGATGCTCATCAACACGCACCAGCCGCAGGTCAGTGTTGCCAGAACGTGCCCAGCTCAGGATTGCTGCCTGTCGATTTTCAACGCTCATCTCTGAAAATTTACAGATGAATGGAGGTGAAAACTTCATACAGAGGCGGCCACACAGCACAAGAGTTCCAAGGCGGCCAGTTAAGGCTTGAAGGAACCTGGCAGCAGAATCAGCACAGGAATCAGTCGCCTTCTTTGCCAACGAACCTCCAACAGGACGGCAGGATCCAAAGTCATGTTGTGATAATTTCGGACTGAAGCTGAGCATCAGCCCATCGCACTTAAATTCCCGTTCTCACTTAAAATCAATGTGGCAACTTGCGACAGTGCTTCCTGCTAACGACGATGATAAAATATATAAAGATCTCAAGATCCGTGACAAAGGAAGCAAACGTCTCAGCACAGTACCTTGTAGAGCACAAGTTTGAATCCAAAACACGGCACTCACTGGAAAGGCACAGAGGGACTGTTTGATCATGACACCCTTTTTGCACACCTGGCAAAATTTCCCCTCTGTTCACGTATGATACCACATTGAATTACTGCCAGCATCTGTAGACACACAGCAAAGTGATGGATGATTTGCAAAATGGATGATTCGCATGGCCTGCATACAATTCAACTTGCGGAAATCAGAAACAGTTCCCAGGATGTCACAGAAGCCAAGAACATGGGCTCCATTCTAACATCCCAAAGGCGGTTGATAACTGCTTGATGGGCGCTGCCAGGGCGAGTTGTCATCCATAACATCGAACTTATGATGGCTTGCGTCCTCTTGCCCAGTGTGAACTCTTATGTCGATGCTATAGCTTTAGGTTTCTGGGGACAGATAGGACCCTAACACTAATTCCCAGTTAATAGGAGGTTACACGCAGGAAGCACTTCCGCGCTTTGGTTGGGCTTCATTTTCGCGCCATCAAGGGTATACAACAGTCGCCCTGGCACAACTGTCAATCTTTGACCAGGACGTACGCATCGGCATCCACGTGGCGAGAGGTGTTCTGCAAACCTGAGCCAGAGGCGATGATTGCGAGTGTAACAGCGACAAAAGGCAGACAGGACTGCGATCGAAGCATCGCAAGACAACGTAGTTCCAGATCTGGACAACACACCGCGTCAACGTCCTCGTCACGATCGCCGCCCGCGGCTCTGAGAAACACCGCCAGGTCCGCGTTTTCCGCGTCTTCAGCAACTCTTGCTTCACTTTCGAGGGAAGCGAAGAGGGCATCGGCCACAGCTGCAACCACCGCCTTGCAGTCCGCCCTGCTGTTTCCGCCTTCGCTGGACGCCATGGCAGCCAACCCGACCAACTCGCTACCAGTTGCTTGCCACCTCGAAACCGGGTAATCGACATTCATGCTGTGTAATTCAGCGCCACACCACTTCGCCAAAGCGGCCTGGTACACGTGGGACCTAAAATTGTACTGGCGTACGCCACGTGGTTGCGTCGGGCGTGTCCACTTTGTCGTGCATCTGGCTATCCGACAACGTTGTCCACAACGACGACGCTGTCGGTATAGTTCGACTGCCCAAAGGCAAACCAGTGCAATCCATCAAATCACGCGGGTCCTGCGGCCAGATGCGAATATCCCCCCGTTGAGCTGACTCAACCCCTATCCCCAAGGCCCACATTTCGCCTATCCGTACGCCTGGAGGACGACACCGTGGATGTCCGCCAAGGGGAGGCGACGTGTCGAAGTTCGAAGCAGGTGCAGGCGCAGATTACAAATGGTTCAAACAGGGTGGCGTCACACACAGTGCGGCCATCGATGAAACGGCCACGTGTCAAATGGCGAATATCCGTCGTGTGCCAGACCGTCCCAGTGACGCGAAAAGAACCGCCCAGTTACGTGGTACTCTCGAGACCCGGAAGTTGGACACTCCGGCCTCAGCTTGGCGGACATGTGCTGGCTGACCGTTGCCGCCATCCCTCCCCACTGTGACTGGCCATCGGAAATGAAAACTGCTTCATTGCAATGGAAGCAATCGACGGCTTTACGAACAGCTCAGGACTCGAGGTTTCAAGAGCGCATCTCACAGCAGTCTTACGGAGAGGACACGGGTGGGAAAGCAACACAGCTCTGCCGCAGAATCATTGTGCGCGTGATGCTTAAAATGGTATGAAGAATTCGTGCCAGTGACCAACGTTTTGTGTGCAACTCACTTCAACCCTGGGAACTCATATCATTGTTCATTTCATCGAAATGTGCTAAACTCACCATTCGCCATGTTGGCCCACACATGAAGCAGTGTTCCTGTAATGAACGCCAAAATGGGCTGACAAATCACATGCGCTGTGCACTTCCCTGGGAGCCAGCAGAGTGCACCTGAAAATGATGGAAATAGCAAGCACCAGCATGCCTGCTCTCAGAGCCGTAATCCTCGTGCCTTGCCCATTGCCATCTTGTTCGCGACGCCGCATAATGACCACCGTTTCACTGGGTGGATCACTTCTGCCTGATGGCTTGCGACTAGTGGGCATGTCAAAGCGTGAATCGCTGCTTGAGATTGAAAGAAATCTGAAAGTACCGAATAGCCATTTCTGTGATCGAATTTTGGTTTGGAATTTGGCTTTTGAGGTAGTTTTCGATCACACTCATGTTTGTTGAGGACAACATGAGCTTGATGAAAGAATGTCATGCAATTCACATAGAGATGCCTTGGTCATAGTGTCTTGTCTGCAAGATGCAAGGGTGTGTTGTGGGGAAGTTTCGGATGTGTGTTTCCCGAAGCTTTACAGCATTGTGACCGCCCTCTACTTTCACTTTGGCTTGCAAGTTTTGTTGTACTTGCACTTTGCAGTGGGGGCGTTTGGAAATGACCATATGCGGCACCTGAGTAGTCAGAATCATGTTGTTTTGAATTCTGAGTGAAAGGGAAGCTATGGCGTGTTCCATACGTTGGCTGCACCTTAGTGATGAGGTGGCATGGGGTTGAATTGTCGTATGGGCATTTGTGATTGATGACAATCCTTGGGAGTGAAAAGAGTGGATGAGTGGTTGTGAAAAAAGGAATCCTGAGTGGGGGTTGTTGCCGGCGGCGGCGGCAAGACTCTGTTGTGGGAAGGGCGAACAAATATGTAAGCCCAAGGCTGCTCGTCTGTGAGTTTGGTCCAAGGATGGCCGCAGCGGACTCCAAGGGAGCGCTGCAATCGCTAGCTTCCAAAGCGCACTCCAAAGGATGGCCTTGAATGGCCATACCTTCAACAATCTGTTATTGAATCGACAACTGGGTGTGATGGTAATGTACTTTGTCATCACGTCACAGTTCGCCCCAAGCGATTTGTGGTATATGAGGCGTCAAACAAACCGGCTCCTGACAACAACTCCCTGAAGCATTTCAGAAGAGCTGATTGCTCAATTCTCACACCAGGGCTGTAATGAGCGACCCAGTGCAATATCTCATTCGTTGCTCGCCACGTATTCATAAAGGCCAATCTCCTGCTCTCCCTCGCCGTTCACCACAACAATCATGACGATGGACCTCCAGGACTTCAGCACTTCCTCAAGGACATCATGCCCACCCGCAGTCAACTCTCCCCCTTGGTGGCCAGAATCAGCTTGTTGTGCTTGGTACAACTCGGCTAGAAACCCTCTCCTTCACGCGTTCCTTGATATCCTTGTGGCATACCAACTAAGAACGTCCTTGTGCTGTACTTAACTCATGCATCAATATGTTCTCCACAACAATGCAAAGGAAAAGGCCTCCTCCTTTCCTTTCTTCCTTCTCTTAGCCAGGCTGCAAATTTGTGAATGAAATTCTTCCTCCACGAATAACTCCAGCAGGAAACATCGTGTTCGTGACGCCAACTATGATTCCATTCTGACACTAACTAATGCCAATACAATTATTGGGATGGTATCACATAAGTGCATTGGCATCAATTAATGTCAAAATGTCAGCTCTGTTGGATACGCCAACGTGTCATTCCTTCTGTTGTACAAGCCATGCGAACACCATATCGGAAATCTTGTTCTGGCTATCATGCCAATCATGACAATAGTGACAAACAGGACAATTGAGGAATGATAGACTCAATGTTTGTGTTGTTTCTGACGCGCAAAAGACACAGGTAAACATGGATGGTACATTTTGCAATACTGTTCTTTCTTTGAGGACGAAGACGGGGCCAATGCTTGCTTGCAGGCCTGGTAATAATCCTGACATTGAACAATGGTCCGCATGCAGTACGCATGCATGGGGTGATCGCGGACATCCAGCGATGGCGAATACCAATCGGAGGTCTAGGGACAAGTGAGGATGTCTGAACAACCGCAGACAGCGGTGTCCGTATCACCTCCACTACAGTGTTGGTGGGCCAGCAAGATCACCAAATAACCCGCCAGCTCACACAAAAATTGGACAAAAGGTAACAAAAGTGTGGTGCTGACGTCCGCCAACCCACCTGCAGTTCCACCGTCTCCAACAGACGACCCACCGGAACGTGCGGTTCGCCGCTCGTTCAGTCTTGTCGGTAGCGTCGTCAAGAAAGGGCAGAGACGAGCGCGTCTGTGAGACGCGATGGAGACCCTTTCGCAGTACCAGGAGTTGAAGACGCGTTGCAGTTCGGGCAACCGCGTGGGAAGCATCCCCCTGCCGCCGGTCTCGAGAAGGGATGACCGCCGATCAGCTGCCGCTCGAAGTGCCAGGAGCCCATCGCAACGAGATTGTTCCGAGCACAAGGCAGTGGACGCTGTTTCGCGGCGAACTGTTGAGCTGGGCGTGCTGTCGACGGGGCTCTTGGGATGGATTGGCCAGCAGTGGGCGGTGGCGGATGCAGCAGGAAGTCGACAGGTACCGTTGCTGCAGGCGTTGCGGCCTCGCGGCGTTGCCAAAGCGAGTTGGGCGAGTGAAGATGCAGAGGAACTGCGTGCCATTGACTCATCATATACCAACCTTGACGTGCACAATGCCGATGGTTTGGCATTCGCAGGAGTTTCATGCAATCAGCTGCCGTAGAAGGCATTGGTCTGGATGCCCGCTTTCTACCTTTGCGCACATGTATTCACTGGAACACTGGTTCATTCAAAGGCGATTTCGTGGGTGAAGGTTGACATGCGCAGGTCCTGTGCTCTGCAGGGACTTTGCCCGTGGGACCACCAGTCACGCATCTTAGCGGCATGTTGTGCTGCACAGGTGTTTATGGACGTTGAGGTTGACAGGAAGGAATTGGGGCGCATAGTTGTGGAGCTGCTCGATGGTGAATCTGCCATTGGTTGCCAAAGATTTGCCGATCTGGCAGTAGGGATAGCAGGCGTGGGCTACCGATTGTCCAAATTTGATGACCTTGCAGATGTGAGTCCATCAGGTTGCACGTACATCAATTGGGCTGTCCTGGTTGACACATGGGTGCATGTCCTGATGCCGATGCTTTCATATTGGATGCAGCTATGGCAGTCGCCTTCCCTAATGTCTGAACAACAGCAGATGGACTGGAAACTGGATTGCTATGTTGTTTGTTGAAAGGCCTGCGTGGCGATTCTCTTGCATTGTTTGGTGCATGGCAAAGTGACCTCGCATGTCCAGAACATAGCTTCAAATGCTTTTTGTCCTGGCATGATGTGTCAAAGACAGGCTTTATGTAAATGAAGCACTCAACACAAACAAGTTCCTCATTCATGCTGGCCTTCAACCTTGACAGAACTTTATACGGAATGAGGGTGTGAGAAGGCTGACCTACTCTGCAACACAAGACTCACCCATTGCTGGGGGCGACTCAGTCCAGGACCTGTTGGTGAGCAGTCGGAACTGATGTGGAATTTGGTGGCAGGAAGCAACCAATTCTCCAAACTTGCGAAAGCCAACATGGCTTTGCACTGTTTCCCACATCAATGTCTGTGGTGACAAATAGATGGGTATATTGTACTCTGTACTTGTGCTGTAAAATGGAGTGTACCATGCACCCATAGTCTGTGTTTGGTGGTGATGCATGGCAGATTCAGTTTGCTGTTGGCTGGCAGTAACATCTCTGAGGGAGCTGTGATCCACATATGGCAAAATGGCTATGATTGGAAGTGCTGGAGCTGGGGTGTGCACAATCGGACTTACACCATATTGTGGGCTCCAAGGCAGAACTAGAGAAGAGCTCTCGTACCCACAACGAAGCTGGACTAGTCTCTATCATCGTCCGAGACGATCGTGAAAGGTACAAACTGCAGATAATGCCACACTATGTACAATCTGGACAGCTTTGGTAATTGCATGCTAATTCTGTGGCCATGGTGTTTTGACTATATGAAAGACGCACACAGTAGGACAGTAGTTTAGGCTATGCCCAGAACATTTCCAGTGCAGAAACCATAGCAGTAATTTCTTTGAATTGTTTTTAGAGAATGTTGACCATCTTGGGATGTCAGCAGTAGAAGAATGATAAGTGACATTGTGAACCTGCGGGCAATCTGCTGGAAGTTGTGCATCAGCCTGTGAATTTTTCTTTCCCATTCATTGGTTTTGGGTTGGTTGCTTTGGATATCAATGGGATGCAGTGCTGACATAGGCAGCTGTTTTGCCTCATCATAACCTGTGGTCTGCATTCAGTCCAAATGGGGCAACCTTTTGACTATTTCTCTGATGTATGCAGACAGATAAAGGCCAGGTTGATTGCGAAGGGTGGCAAGCTGGTAACTGTGGAGGTGAGGATCAGCTGTCAGACAAGTTTTGTCAGGAGCCAATGGCATCGAGACCCAATTGGCTGGGGGGTGGCAATGCATGCTGAAAACAGTGCTTCAGATATGGAGAACAATTTTGACTGATGGGCATGGTGCCCTGACGAAACAGTTTTTGTGGCATGGAGGCCATTGTTTCCATTTGTGTATTCGCAAGGTGCAACAGAACTCTCCTCTGTTATTGTTGGATACCACCTGCCTTCTGGCTGTTTTAAGGAGATATTTTTTGCGAGCCATCTCACTCTCTATCTCATGAACTGATGGCAGGATGAAATTGGTGCAAGACCACCAAATGGCACAGCCTTCACGATTACTACAGCACCTGCACCTGAACTTGATGGCAAGAATCTTGTCATTGGACGAGTTGTATCGGGCATGAACATAGTGAGAGAAATTCAAGCCCTGCCAACAGTGACGCCAAACAGTGGCTCTCCATTCTTCCAGTGAGTCGGGCAGTTGTGTAGTGCCATCTGTACCTTCAGAAGCTTCTAATCTGGCAACTTTGCGACCTGCCAACTTGTCAGCTTTAACCAAGTGTATCATTGCGGGTGCTGCTTGTACCTCATTTGGAAGAATGCCAATGCGTTAAGATGTGCCGAAGTTTTGTTATTCATTGCTCATAGCCTGGGGTGCTTGGGGATTCTGGCTGACAGGAGTATGGAAGAATTCTTTGCATGATTGGTGTGGAGCCACTTATTTCCAACCTACTTCCTCCGTCCAAGACTAATTATCATCATGACTTTGGGTCATTGCTTCTCCATCGTACCAATATCGGTTGTCCATAAAATACCACTGTAATTTTGGAGTATACTATCAAAATTTCAAGTCAATCCATTAAATATTGAGGATTTGGCATTACTTTGTATCAAAGGTCTTTTTACCTAGTAGACCTCAATATTTGGGCTCAAGAATGACCAAAATTTACTTTTCTCTCACGCTCAAAGGGGTATGCCTCACTTTTTCTTCCTGAAGATTGGTAGTTGAGGGTTTTAGAACCAAATCTTTCCGATTTTCAACTTCCCTTGTAATTTTGAGGCCGTCCTTGCGACGAATTTTGTCATTCACATAGACGATAATCTTGGACAGAGGAAGTACCTTTTTCTTGATCATTCAGTTTCTCCAATGACATTTTTCTCAAGCAGCATAGCTCGAATTACTGCCTTCGCATGGACAAGAAGATCACACTCTTTGGCATTCATCAAAGGAGGTGTACGCCTTATTGGGCACCACGTTTGTATTTTTATGAATGACGATGTCCGTTCTATTCCTTGCCCATGCTAGCAGCTGCGGAGTGTTATTGTGCGGACTTCAGGGATACGCTTGCTCTACTGGCGCATAATAACTCGGCGCAATCAACAACAGCACAATGTCATTTTGCATCTGTATGACATTTGAGGGATTTGGGATGTTCTGGGTGAACAAAATACTGTGCATGGAATTGTATGTGCCACCGCCTTTCAGGTGCCATGGCAGTTCTTTGTCTCATTTTGCCGAAAACAATCTACACCATCTTAAAAATTGAAGGACAGCGCTGACACGCTAACACTTGAAATTCATTTTTCCAAATGTGATCTGTGCTCCTCAACCGAAAACATGCCTACATGATGCCGTGATACCAAAAGCATTTTCACGCAAGCCAGTAACATGGACACATTGTCAAAGAGCAGAGGGACAGCATTGTACTGTGCTATTGCATTATGTGGGACGACGTGCACTCAATCATTGGTGCCGCCGTACGGCTAGTGTGTGCTTGTTCTGCAATCCCGCATTTGCGGCTGCTGCACTGCCGTTCGTATGCATGTGCACACTCTGCAGTTGTTGTCATCGAAATGTGCCTGTTGTGTTATCAGGGCGGCAAAAGCCATCGGAGACAAACGCGCAGATGTTGCCGAATTGGGTTTCGGGCGCCCATTTAACAGGATCACAGTTATGCGGGGTGGCGTAGTTTGATGGCGTTGTGAGAAGCGGCACCGGGTGGCAGATCGACTGGACAGAGGATGTAATGTATGCGTTGGGTTTCACTTCAACTGTCCAAATGGCGCTGATATGGCTGTGGCCAGTGTTGCGCGGCCGCAGTATCCCAGCGACGCTGGGCTCGACGGATATGCCGTATTGTCCGAATCGAGGACTCCAGCACTTTGGCCTCGATTTCGGTACATTTCATCAGCTGCGCTTCTGCCAACAGAACGATGTTTGGAACCCTGGCACACAAATTGCCACATACCAGCGGATGGGCAATCCATGTTTCGGTGTGTCTTGTTTCAAGGACGTTCGCCAAGATACGGCATTATCTCGACTTGCAAACAGCGTATGGGAATCTGACAGATTATGCCCATGTCGTGGGTTTGTCATCGCGGCGTAGGCCAACATGGTCCCACTGGAAGTGCGCTGATTGGTGCAGAGATACCAATACTTCAGTTGTTGCTCCCACAGAGATTTCCGTACTGTTTGCTGTTGGCAGAAGGCCTGACATCTAGGGTTTTGACGCCTTTCTGTTGCTGCTGTAGATGAGCTTAGAAATGCCGGCGTTGGCATGCGTTGGCACGTTTCATTCAGCATTTAGAAGTGCCCCTAAATCATCACAAGCTGCAGCATTCGGCCTAAACAGCAGTGTAATACTACGCAGCTTTGGGCACATTACGTTGGTGGCTTTTCCTCTCATTCTTTTGGGCTGGGGGGAGGCTGGGTAGGTATCATGGAGCAGGGGCCTATTGGGCACATTGATCGGCATCAACCAGGCTGTGCTTTGCCTCGTTCTTGGCGCAATCAAAGAGTTAGTGCTTAATACATCGAGGACGCCATAATGGCGGCCTTGCAAACGCGTTTGTAGGCACGGCCCTGCCTTTTGGTTCGACACTGAGCCGCAACAAGATCGAATCATTCGTTGGATGTCATGCGCAAGGCCAAACGTCAACCAAGGAACAAGAGCTACAAATGCAGATTCCAGCGATGTTCATGGTATGGCAGTTGGCATGGCCCTGCTTGCACCCCCCGGAACACGGGCATACGACCGTTTGTTGAGTTCCCACACGCCAGAATATCCTGAAGGGACGGTCACAGTGGAACAAGGAGTAAAATTAACCGCGTCCGCTCCCAATGGTTGACGCTTTTCCTGCGTCATTGTCAAGCCAAGTACGGCATTGAACAGATGAACTCAAGCACATTTCGAACTTGGCCCCACTTGGCGCTGCTTTCTTTGCACAAACACCAATAGGCCCTGTGAGAAAACTGAACAGCTTGCCACTGATGTATTATCCCCCATTAATGTTCTGACAGCAAGTCATTGCATCAACTTGAAATGCCCCAACACAATGGATGAGTGTATCTTAACAAATGACCGTTTAACCGTAAATTGTCTTGCTCCGTATCCTCTCGTCCTACTACGGTGCCGCTACCTTCCTACGTCCGATTCCCATTCAGTCATCCGCACGCTTCCCGTTCGCTTCTGTCTTGAGTAGCGTCCACTCACGTCCTAACGGTTTGCCAAATGCCCCGATCCGGGGGCGGGCCTCATGGTCCGCCCCCGCCCGGAACGGAGAGGGGCATATGCCTCGTGTTTCGATCGTCAATGGCCCTCTGGCATTCCTTAACGGTTGCGATTCCTGCTTTGGCGCTATACTTGAGCGCCTAGCCACGCATACCCTGATTTGCCATTTTCCTCCTGAGGGAGGCGAGAGGGCCGTTTCCAGGCATACCCAACCGTTCGGCCCAATTGTGGGTTGCAAAGGCAATTGCCGTATGCGGACTGACTAAGAGTGGCCTACGGGTGTAGGAGGTGCAGGAGACCCGGGACGAAGTGCTCGGAGGGCCCGTCGCGGCTGTCCGAGGGGAGGAATGGACGGTAATGGAGCTGAATAGGCAGTACCGAGCAGCGCGAGAGGCGCATAGAGCGTGGGTGGAGCGAGTCGCTGAGAAGAGATTGCCTCAACGGAAACAACTGGTCGAACGAGAGTTCGTGAGTTGGTGGGCCCGGCGGCCGGCCGAGTGGCAAGTAGGCCCGCCCCAGCCAGAGGATGTCATCACCTTTCTGGAATGGTTCTCCCAGAAGCGGCAGGGGCGTGCACGAACCCACACCGAGAGTGGACAGAGGGTGTGGCATTTCAATACCATGGAAAAGGAAGTGAGCCACCTGAGTAGTTGGTTCCGCCGAAGCGGACGAGAGGGCGACTGGCGCAGCGAGGACGGGAGCGGGAATCCGTGTAGATCCAACTGTGTCCGAGATTGGAAGAAAGCCTACCGGGCCGCGCAGCAAGTGCAAGGGGTAGGAGAAAGTAGTGCGGAGCCATTGCGTGTAGAATGGTATCGACGGATGTTGAGAGCGTGCCAACAAGAGCTCGCGAGGGAAGGCGACCCCGTTGTTAGGGGTCGTATAATGCGTGACGCCGTGTTGCTGACCTTCTTATGGGAAACCGGCCAGCGAGTGAAACCGCAGTTGGAGCCGTACACGCGGGACATGATAGTGGATGAGTGGGGCCGCCCGATATGGGCGGCGAGGACGGGGATGCGCCCCGTGGAAGGGGCAGTGTTATTAGACGTATGGTCGCTGAAGACCACTACCGAATTCCGGCCCGGACGGGTGGAGATAGACCGTCACTAGGAACTGGGGTTCCTGTACTGGTTCGACCTCATGGGAGACTGGCTCTGCCAGCATGGGTGCGGGGACGTTCAGGTACTGTTGCCCACCTAGGATCAGTGACACGGGCCCCAGAACCGGTCGGTAGAGGCGATGGAGGCTACCCGCATTATGCGGTATTGGGCCCAGCGGGTCGATGCGCAGGAAACGCTGACTTACTATAGCAGCAAACGGGGGAGCCTGCAGCATAGGCATCACGAGCTCGGGATGTCGATGGCCGACGTGGCCAGCCAGACACTGCTACGCTTAATAACCACCGTGGAGCGGTATGTGGACCGAGGGCGGCACTGGCATCGGCAGGTGCAGGCCGCGCGCAGGGTGAAGGCCAGAACGCATGAGCCGGAGCGGCCCGAAGGGACAGAGCGGAGCCATTGGCGAGTGTGGGGTGGACCGCCCCCCGAGCTCAAAGCCCGGCTATCCGCTGGGGAAAGGCCGTGAGGCCGAGACAATTGTCCGAAATGTCGCAAGAAACCTTTAACAATCAGGTTGGGATACAAAGACTCATACCCATGGATACCAGCCGGATGGCTTCGACGATCCCGACGCCCCCGCACCCCAAACGAACCACGGGCTGATCGCCCGACCGTGCCAGGTGAGAGCGCGGGGCATCACCAAAAGACCGCGAAGGCCCGGGAGGGTGGCGATGAGCGGTTCCCACGCACGACATGCGGCGGGCAGCACGACTATGGTGGGAGACCAATATTGCGTGAGGCGCTGAAGCGCCCGACCGGCCAAGCGAGGCGGGGGGTTGACCCACGCATAGCCGCGTGGCGGACGCCAATCATGAGAGAAAGCGTCGACCCCCGCCGACCGACCATCAAAATATCGCGAAAAATAACGGTCGCAGACTGCCGTGGAGGCGGTCGCAAACACATCGAGGCAAATAGAGGTGGGGTCGAGAGCCAACTGGTGGCAGATCCATGCGACCGCCTCGGGCTTAAGACCCCAGTCATGGGGGTCGTCAGGCTTACTGAAGAAGTCCGCCTGAGCCTGCCAAGGGTCTTCCCTGTTCGACCAGACGAGCTCAAGCTCTACGTCGTGCTCCCAGGCTAACAGGTGTATCGCCCGCACGAGGGGAAGATATTCATTGACGCCCTTCTAACGGTCGATGCAATACTTGCTCGCTTGACTGTCAGTGTGATATAAAAGGCGATGTGCCTTCACCATGCCAGGGGCACACACGATCAATGTGCACAAAACCGAGTGCACGGCGAACAACTCCCGAGCTGTGGAGCTAGCACTGATGAGATGCGAGGGGAGCTCCACCTGAAGGGGGTAAGGAATAGCCCCCCCAGGAAAAAACGCTCCAACGTGGGTTTCAGAGGCATCACCAACTGCGACAGTCGTTTCGCAGGCGCTGGGCCAACTACGACCCTCAACCCTATGGAAGTTGTCCCGCCACCACTCGAGCTCATCCCGCACCTCCTGGGGAGTAGGGAAAAGGTCGTCCCAAGACTCTGTCCCCACTAAGGCGGCAAATAAACGCCGAGTGAAAGCTGGGCACAGATTCACGGCCATGCTCATAGAGACGATGAGTCCCGCGATGTGAGCCAACTGACGGGGAGTAACGCGGTCACCGGCTAGCAGTTCATCCACAACCGAGAGAAAGTAACTGCGCTTGTCAGCCGAAACGCGGAAAGCACCCACGCCGGAGTCTACTTCCAACCCAAGGAAGCGCTGCGTCTGTTTCGACACCCAGTCGGCTTTCTTTGATGAAAAGAAAGTCCCCAGGGCTGTGCCGACAAGGGCCAAGATCAGGCCGTCGAGCATACAGAGTTGCGGGCTGGCCGCCGCTCCATATCGGTCGTCTATGAGGAATGCCATCAACGAACCATAATGGCGCAGAGGCCGATAAAACGCGGTCTGAATGTGAGTAAAGGCCGCGCACGCGGATGCCAACCCGAATGGGAGGTGGGTCAAAAGCAAAGTGCGACCCTTCCAATGGACCGCGAGGAACGGCCAATCGCATCGGCGCATACGCAGGTGATGGTACCCGGATTTCAGGTCCGTCACTATGGTGTAGCACCCGCGATGAGCGAACGCTAACACGTCGGAGAGCTGTTCATAGCGTACGGGTTCATACCTGACGAAGGAGTTCACATACCGCAAGTCAATCACCAGTCGCATCTTGGTGCGGTGGGTGACCACAGCAAGTGGGTTGACCACCTGTACCGAAGCATGGAGAGTGGGGTCGAACAACACCGCCATGTCCGTTTTGACGAGGCTGCGGATGGCGCTGTCGGTGAACGCCTCATGGGTCATGGCGGACGTCCTGTTGGGGAACACCACGAAGCTAGGACGCGTACCCGTCAGGTGA